GGTGTCTCGACTGCCGGGGCTGCCCGAGAACCCTCCTCGCCATCGTCCTCTTCACTCGAGGATGTTTCGATGAGAATCATCCTCTTTGTGGATTCTGCCATAGCCTATTTCCCTCTCAAGGATTCGAAAGGAAAAAAAAGAAAATTCCTAACAACCCTAAAATATTATTTTGGTTCTTTCGGTAAAGTGCATCGATTACAAAAAAAGAGGAATATTGCCATCCTAAATCACAACATTTTGGAGCAAGAGTTCGCGGTCGAAGAAAAAAACTCATTCGTCTGTTCTCTGTGGCAGAGGACTTTCCCAAGCTTGGTCCACTTCATCCCGTGCCAAAAGGGGGTGGAGGGCACTGCCATTTCTCATTTGCGGCTTTGCTGCCTATTTTTACTTTTTCTACCTCCACCACGCTATCGATCAGCCTCCTGGCGAGGTGATATACGTCGACGGGTGTCATATTGGTACCCTTAATCATCCGTCCATGCATCTTCCACAGGTCCTCTTTTATGGCCCCTACAATGGCCCATGTCTGAGCCCAAGCCCCTCCTGCCTTCTGTCGGAATACTCTAAATAATATTTGGCATTGTAACCTTAACCGAATAAAAACGAGTCAGTAGAGGATGGCATAGCTCCCACACTTCCTGTGCAAAGGGGCACTGCACAAGGGCGTGAGCCATACACATCCAAATCGCAGCCTCTCGAGCATTTGGGGGTATGAGCTATATTGCGGGTATACATGAACCTCCTGCATTCTAACCTGTCCCAGGCTGCCAGCCAGGATAAGTCCCGTTGCCTTTTCCTTAGGGCCTCAGATGTCACGTTCTTCCAAATTTGTTCGTGCATGGCACTCCGTGAACCTGGCACCTCTGTACAGGCCTCCCTCTTGTTCATCTTGGCAAGGACTCCTCTTGGGCACCACGACCCCCGTACCGGCTCATATTCTGTAATATATTTGTTGACAACGGCACTCAACCATCCCTGCGTCCAAGCAAGGGGCGTGCCGTGCGGCAATGAGGCCATCCCTAGTCTCCGCAGGAGTCATGCCAGTTTGTAATGTAAACAATGAGGCCTTCACCTGGGGCCCATTGGAAAAAACAAGTGTAACGTATCACAAACAAAAATTGTTGTGAGGGCACGCGTGACATTATGGGCACCCCTCCCACCATTCGCGACGCTTTTGTACATCGTTTCCATTTTCACTCGGTCCATCCCACCTCCCCAGATGAACCTAAAAAACATTCTCTTTTTCTCGCTATTTGCGCGCCCGGCAGGAATACGAAGGCCAGATAATCGAGTGCTGGTAGTATTTCTACTTTCAGAACCAGGATCCTTCCTTCCATTGTAAGGAACCTGTTCGTCCATCTGACCAGCCTGCCCTTTACTGCCTTCATCCTTTCTTTCCAATTTCTCTTTGCCGAGTCCTCCCGGTAGAAGGCAACCCCCAGCATCCTGATCCCTTCTGCCTGTACTTTTATCCCTGGTGGGCGGCCCTCGAATTGCCTGGGGTCACCCAAAATCATCATCTCACTCTTTTTTACATTAACCTTGGATCCTGAGGCCAAAAAGAAACGATTCGCGACCTTTAGTACCTCCCACACTGAGGATACATCCCTACAGAAAACCACGACATTGTCTATGAACATGGCTACTTTCGCCTGTTCTCTGCATCCTGGGATGTGCACTCCCCTAATCTTCTGGTTATTTCTAACTGTCTGGGCAAAGAACTCCATACACATTATGAATAAGACGGGTGACATGGGACATCCCTGTCTCACTCCTGACCCAACTGGCATCACCTCCGAAAGGACCCCGTTTATCAACAGTCTGCCAGTGAGCTTATGATATAGTTTTCGTACCCAGCCTACCAATTGCTCCCCTACCCCCATGCGCGTCAGTACTGAAAACAAAAAATCGTGTGAGATGCGATCGAAGGCCTTCTCTTGGTCTAAGCTCAGGAGTCCCAGGGGTCCTCCCCCCTCTATTGTGTGCACCTCATTGCCCTCCCCCACCGACCTCCGTCCTCCAGGTCGTCACATCGCAGCCTTGTCCGCCTCGGCAGCAGTCGACCCGGCCCAGTCGCCTTGGCTCACCCCGACAGCGTGGTCGGTCTCCATGCCCCCCTGAATTGGCAAGGCAACCTCTGGCCTGACGGTTAGTTGCCCTCGCAGGTACTCGGACAGGTATGCAGACAGGTACGCAGGCAGGCTCGGTTGGCAGGAAAACGATCTCGACTATTGACTATTTAAAAGTTTTTATTAATTTCTCAACCCTGGACAGTCCACTGCCCCGGACAGCCAAAAAGAAACCATGACCACAACCCACACAGGGGATCTTATCGTGACATCAAGTGCCCTTACCACACATCCAGTGCACCGATTATGAAACACGAGTAATAATGCCATCTTAATCACAAACTTTTGGAGCAAAAAGTTCACGGTCGCCAAAGAAAAAACAAGAAAAATTCGTCCATTCTCTTTGTGGCGGAGGGCATTCCCAAGCTTGGTACACTTCATCCCGTGCCACACGGGGGTGGAGGCCACCGCCATTTCTCATTTGTGGCTTTGCTGCCCATTTTTACTCTTTCCACCTCCACCACTCTTTCGATCAGTCTCCTGGCTAGGTGGCATACCTCGACGTATGTCGTATAGGCGCCCTTAACCACCCGCCCACTTGCCTTCCACAGGGCCTCTTTTATGGCTCCTATGACTATCCCAATGACGAGTTCCACTCCAGATCGCAGCAGCCCCAACTGTGAGTCGGAGCTCGCCTTATGTCCTGAACAGCGTGGTCAGGTGCCGCCATCGGCCTTCCCCGCACCCCTCTGGATCCCCCAAATGGCTCCGTGCCCACAGATGCAACTGGTAGAACGGGCTGTTTCCCCTAATTCTATTCCTACCAATCTCCCAGCGGCACGCGCTCCAGTGACTCATTCCACGTGCGTACACAAGTAAAAAAATGTCTGTTGATATTTATGTTTTTATTTATTTATTTGGGGCCCCCTTTATGACATATGCTATAGGCCCCGCACTAGCTTAATCCGACACTGGCCACAGCGGTGAAATTGTGGCCATGCGACTCAAGCTACGGATCGTGCTGCAGAGCCACTGCAGTCTGTGCTTCTTCGAAAGAGTAAAAACTAAATTAAAACAAACCTGCTACTAAAGCCCTCTTGTGGGTAGCAGACCCCCCCATTGGCATTCAACTGTTGAACATATTGGCATACACAAGAATAGATTAGAGGAGTTCTCCTGTACTGCGTAATTTCCCTTCATTATACATTCAAACGTGCTTATTAGCAAGCCTATGTTAACATTATTATCTATTAAAGTCTTATTCTTCTTGATAGACCTCCAATTATCTCTTGAGAAAAAAACATATTTTCATGAAATCGCTTCCTGAAGGTGGCACCATCCATCCATGCACAGACTTTATGGTTTCTCGTACTGTAACGAGTAGAAAGGTTGCATCTGTGAATGTCCCTGATGCGCCGTGTATTGCAATATTGGGAATGATTTAAAGTTGGCGAAGGGTGATGCGTTCCACGAGCATTTGAACATGCACACACAGTGGTGCCATCCTTGATAGTCTCGTCGCCAAGGACATTAATTGCAGAGTGTGCAGCCGGGGAATTCTGCGCATGCACTGATCGAGAAGAGACCTGTCCTGTGAATATCATGAATATGGGACAGAGATCATCCACAAGGCATACTCGGGACAGTTAGCAGATCCCAGCACTAATGAGTCCTTGGCGGTGTGATCCCGTGCCTTGAAGCATGAGGATGCATGCCCGTCGCATCCTTTCCCCAAATCTACAAAGAGCCATCGGTGAACATTATTAGCATTTCCAGAGTGTAAGGATGGGAGGAATTCTCTTAGTGAATCAATTACAGGCATAACAGAAGTGAGGGTGGTGTAATGAAGGAGTATGGGTTGATGAGAACCATTATCTTTGTTGATGAGTAGTCATTACCCGTCGCTGTTTTGTGTGTGTCGGAATGTCTTAATATTTTTCTTACCATGAATAAAAATTTCAATGTTGTTTGTTTTTGAAGGCATACTACTTTGATATTATTCTTCATTAAACTTTACATATTATTACAGGAAATACCTAAGGCTTCCTTTGCAGTTTAAAAAAATATAGGTTTGCAATGCAATGCATTATGTATGTGAATGCGGATATTTTTGTTGCATATCCGCATTTGTTTGGTTTTCAAATCGAACTTTTGTCGTATTTGGATACAATTTTAGCGCCAGGAGACTAACATATGATGGAGAAATATATATTTATTTAAATTTTAGAAACTCCAGACAATTATTTTTTACAAAGAGTGAAAGGGAATTGCATGTTGGAAGGAGTTTATTTTGTGTAGGTCTGCTGATTAAATATAAATAAAAACCTTCACTCGGGTTCCAAACTTTTCACTTACGGCTCGTGCCAAACGCGGAGCTTGTCTGAGGTCATGAGGCAGGTCTTTTTGAAAGTGTCTTCCTCCAAACCATCCAACGACTCTCCTCTCCCTATGAAATCACCTGCTCTCCAAAAGCACTGTTTATTCCTTGCACCGTGGGCTGTTCAAACGCCTCCAAAGGCATGCTCCTCTTTGACGATCATCTTCTTGTGCTTCACAGCTGCATCACTGAGCCGCTATAACATGTGTATGCATGAAATAGTTGGAACACTGCTGCGACTGCTGATGCTTTAATGAACTGGCCAGCCTGCTCTCTTTACAAATCTCAGCCTCACGTTGGCAGTTGCACCGTCTAATTCCCTTTGCTGTTTATACGGAGGATTAATGCACCCCTATGAATTGTATATTTTCAGTAAAACGTAACATTGCTTGTATAAAACTGAAATCGACATTTATAATGCAATATCATCTTACATCTTTGTTAACGTCCACACGAAATTTGCCTGTTATTGTGATAAAAAAAAAATATATAATATTCAGCCGTACGGAAACAAAAAAAAATGACCGTGCCAATTTTTTTTGTGGCCTTTCCAGGTACATTTGCCATTGTTTCGCTGATGACGGGTGGCGTGGTTGAGCGGTTTGCCTCTAATGTCACGGCAATCGACCCCCAAGAGCTGGAGTCGCAGAAGATCTCCATAGCAACCACACTTGCCGTGCTCTCTGGAGCAATACAGGTAACACGTGATCGAGTGGCAGGGTGGCCGAGTCTACTTCCAAGCTGCATGGGTGTATGCTTATCGTCACCACCACCGCCACCATAGTAATCATCATCATCTATATCATAAGTCATGCGCTATCCACTGCTGGCTGAAGGCTTCCGCGAGTAATGACCATTCTCGAACAGCAATGCCTCGAGCCGCTGGCACAATGATCTGATCTCACTGATCCATCTCTGTGATAGTTGTACTCTCCAGAGCGTTTTCTTCCTTTGGCTTGCAGTCAAAATAATAGCATGAGGGTATTTATTTACAAATGGGGGGGGGGGGGGGGGGAATCTGTGCCAATTGCTCATGTTTAAAAAGAAAATATGTCTGAAATATTCTTCATGAAGATCTACTGAGTGGTATAAATTACTTTTGAAAATAAGCCATTCTTTTGTGTTAAATTGCAGGGGATTGGCCCCCTTTCAAACTTCTGAAACCACATGGAGGCAATTTTTCACGTGTAGTGTAGGTCTATTCATCTGAATAATGGATCATGTGATGATGACATTGTCATGAAATCAGTGTCATTATCCATTAAATAATTGGGTATAATTTGAGTTGCATGATTAATGAATTCCTTCACTTAATCATTATGCTGTGGATAATTTATGTTTGCATAATCCTGCACAAATGTAAAAGAAAATAGACTTGAAAGAGTTTTCACCAAGTGCCTCTGTTTAAAAAAACACATGTTGACAAATACCAGTCAGAATCAGAATCTTTATCTATCCTGGAGGAATCCGATGCGCTATGAAGCTCTTTTTCACAGACGTCCAATAGTCCTTCAGTAGACAGACATTTAATAATGAATAAATAAATACACATTGGGCATTGTGCAGCACGCAAGGCAAGGGTGTTTATCTCCCATGCCGTGCACTACCGACTCACCCGTTTGGACGTTTGCCACCACACCATTTCAAATGTCTTTGTCAGCGAGAAACACCATTTTTTTTCGTAATTCTCTTTGGGATTGTACGATTTGCTTTATCAGCATTAATACGATGTGTTATTGTGGTGTATATTCATGCAACTTTCTGTTTTGTGGTCGTCTCCTTACCCGTACACTTTTCTGGGCATGCATGGTCAGTCAGTAGCTTAGTATAATTCACCATATTTGTTTAGCCTATGAGGTGGACTGCACAGTGCCTTTCTTGATGACCTCATAGCCAGAAGATTGAGCAGTATGCGAGTATACGCTCTCATCTATTGTGTTTTGTTTTAATATTTCAACATAGTAGTATTCATAATTATTACAATTGTTTACCCATGACAGTTTGAATTAGTCCCATGACTACTTTTTCAGCATGGTCCTGCCAAGTTGCCGTACTAGTGGGTGATGTTGTTGCAGCTGCTGCTGTGTGTAATCCCAAATGAGTAATTTGCAGGAATTTTTTCAGCAATGGGATGTTTGGCCAGTACCAGTTACAGGGAATGTTTTTAAGAATAAGTTTTCTCTTTTTTCTGGCAACAAAACAGGTGTTAGGATTTTCAAACACCAAAGTGAAACCTTTTGCAAGGAATCATGTCTGCATGAACCACAGATACTTGTGGTGAAAATACAAACCAAAAACATGCTCTGACAGGAAATGCATTATCTTTGAATCGGATTGGTCCACACCAAAGACAGCTTTCTTTAGAGCCTAGTCTCAAAGAGTGTTAGATCAGAGGACGCCAAAAGGCCTTTGGGCGTCCTCTAACACCGTTTGAGACTAAAGAAAGCTGTCTCTGGTGTGGACCAATCAGTTTCAAAGACAATGCATACACTGTCAGAGCATGTTTTTTGTTTGTATTTTCACCACAAATATCTGTGGTTAATGCAGACATGATTCTTTGCAAAAGCTTTCAGTTTGGTGTTTTAACATCCGAACACCTGTTTTGTTGCCAGAAAAAAGGGGAAAACCTATGATTATATTCTGACACTGCCAAAGGAGGCCCCATGGGGGAATGTTTTTTTTACTATCAGAAGAGACCGACAAACCCAATAGAATCCCATACAGAACTGGGGGTGGGGAGGGGGGAGACCAGGGGGTGGATATACAAACCCCACTGAGGCACGAGCGTTACGACGGCACCCCCCTGCTACCCACTAATGTTATTAATTGAGTTGCTTACCAAATTTTACAGTGAAATAAATCGCAGAACTCACTTGCATTACTATGAAACGTTCACATTTACAATGGTCACTTTGCCAGAGGTTATAAGGGCAATGAAACCATATTATATCGGAGACGCAAAAAAACAGACATATTTGACGACACCTTAACGTACTCCAGGTTTAACGTACTAAATCCGTGTTACCGCACAAATAATATCATCATTATGGTCCATGGGCAGATAGCTCGTAGGTGTCCACTGCACATTTCTGCATATATTTCCACTTTCCTTTGTCTTGTGCCAATATCCTCAAGTAGTGGCCACATCTTTCTGGCACCGATTTCTTATGTCGCCGTCAAGCCATTCTCTGTTAGGTCTTCCTCTCTTTCCGGTTCAGTCCATTTTTATGAACAAAACACTTTAACATTTCCTGTTGTTGTCCACCCTACATGTGTGTCCAAATAGTGCCAGTTTTTACTTCTCATCGCTGCCCGCATAATCAAGTCTTCTTCTGTGTGCGACCTAATTTTTTGTTAGTTATACATTGCTCGCTTCTTGGGTCCAGTTTAGATGCCAGTATCCTTCTGTAGCAATACATTTTGAACGGCAATATCTTATCTCCATCCGTATTTTATACTGCATGCATTATAACATACGCATAACGTTGGCAATCAAAGACTAATGCAGTTTTTTAAGTCACAGGAATACACTATAGAACTCCGAAAGAATTACAGCAATCAACGACCACTGTGTGAAGAAGACCCTCGTTCTGAGACCTTTGCTTCCCACCTGCAGGCAATGCAATGGCGCATTGAAGTTGGTGTTAGCACGAGTGTTGTTGTCCCTGTAAATACGATGTACATTCAATTCGTGTAGTGATGTTATAACACACAAAATAAGAGCATTTTTGCATCAGTGCCGATCATTGTCGCTGAAATTAATGGTACAGTCATTGAAAAATAAATCTACAGTAGGTGTTTACATGTTGATGTATATTCCAATTTCTGTAGTTGAAAGGTCTCGGTCTTTGAAAATAGGGTTCTCATAGCCACCAAAGGTAGTGACAGTTGCAGGATGTTGACTAAAAAGTTCATCGTGATCATCAGCTACGTGTGTATGTTGAACTTCTTTCGTACCTTACATAGCCAACCGTGCTAATCGGAGCTGCAGGGAAAGGACAACAAGCTGAACACAAAAAGCGGTTCTCAAGAAAATAATTATTAAATCTAGATTTAATAGCGCATAGCTCCAGTCGCTTCTGAATATCGGAAGGAAGAGCGTTCCAGACGGCCGCAGAGGCGTATCTGAAAGCACGCAATGCAGTGGCCGTCTTTGTTCAGTCGTTCGCCAAAATCCACTGTGAAGATGACCGGAGTTTGCGTAATGGTTTAGCTATGATCGATCCATGCCGCGTCGACGCAAGCATTTTTTTTGTGGGTAATGGAACAAAGCTTCGCCGTTCGCCACGAATTTCAGTATTCACGATATGCCCCCAGTATCTCCATAGAGTATTGGAGGCTAGCTATAATCCACCTAGCACCTGCAGACAGACGAGCTGATTTCACCACTCCATTTCCCTTGGAAGCATTCTCTCCCTTGGCTTGCACTCTTATTATTGAGCGCTGACCATCGACTCTTCTAGCAACAGTGATAATATCTCTTTTTTCAACGGTTTTACTTAACTCGATTCCTCTGTTTGTCGTGGTCAAATCTTGTAATCCAAATTTCGTCCGCTTCCCGTTGTCCAATCAATTCCACATTTTTGCACACATACTCAGATCCGGTGACAATGCATGCTTGTATCAAAATCGGCATGAATTAATCAATTAATTCGCTACTTTAAAGCAATTGACATTTTGTATGGACGGCTCATTATTTATATATATATTTGTGTAGGTTAAAAACGCCGCGGTCCCTATACTGTGGAATCGGCTCGTACAAAACGCAGGTGCCGCGCGTCTCAGGTGCCATTGACGTACTTCTCAACCGTGACTTAAACGAAGTTGTTAATAAAACCGTTGTTTTAAAAAAAAACTTTTTAAAGGAGTTTATGTAATATCTCATTTACATTTCTAGTGTAAAAAACAAACAAACGTGGTCCTGCAGCTGACCCATTCGAACGTCTCCATTGAGCGAGTACATCTCTTGTTGTGGGCAATAATCACAATAACAATGCACAGGAAATATTTATGCAAGAGAGTAAATATAAGTACAGTACGGCGGTGCCCAAAGAAACGAATTTCAAAAGATTAACACAGTGTTTGTGAGCAAAATGCCATGACTAAGAGAATGGGAAAGATCTTATGAATTTCTTTTTTTAAGAAACAGCCATTGCACAAATCTCAAATTTGGCACCGTAAAAATAGAGATGAAAATATGAACATGTGAAATGTGATTTATTGTTAGTATTGATTGAAGGAAAGTGAATCCTAATTTTCAGAAAAAAGATGCCTCCAGTTGATATGTTGCATTAAAGAATCTGCATCGTGCTGCATGTCAAATCGACATTTCTCATTAAGATTACAAATGTATAAACAGTATAATGCATCACTGCGGTAACACAAAATTGGGCATTTAATTGCATTGAAATATTGTTCTGTTCTGAAGTTTTGCCAGTAATCATTGGACTACCATTTGTTTTAAATTCATATTACAAACCTCATATCTAATGTAAGGCTGATGTGTCCTCCCTTTTTACTGTGCGCACTTTCAGGATTAAATTGGGGACTTGCAGCAAAACGTCATTAGTTTGTAGATGATTCATATTATGGGACATATGACAATAGTATTGCACCGTACATTAAAACCATGATGCATTGTTGTTTCAATACACACTGCAGTATATTTTCACATTCATAAACTAATTTAATGTGGTCATTTCATTATAACGGACGGAATATTAATGGTGGCACTCTGACACATTACTCATCTGACAATTGACAAGCTTGTGTGTTCCAGGTCCTGAAATTAAGTCACTCCCCTTCATCCTCTGAGATTGGTGAATTGAAATAAGTGGTCGGAGTGTGAATCTTCCACCAATGGCTCAGGGCTGCCACAGGAGATCAGTTTCACCGCACACTCATTGCTTGCTTGCGACAGCGGTTGCCATCATGACAGGCTATGTGGGCCCACTCGAGGAGGCACGCGAGACAATTCACGTGACGGAGGTAGTCACGTTGGGTATGATGGCCCCCCGCTTGTATGGCCACAAACGGCGCAAATGGCTCAGCGGTAGCGTGAACGGCTTGCAATTGGATGGTTGCGGAGTTAAAATCCTGGGTGGGGGGGGGGGGTGAATCAGCCCATCATCGTTTCAGGGTCAATAAAAAAAGCACCAATAGTGGGGAAGTGAACAGTGGTTTTGCTACGGACAGACTTCGTCTCGGCCACAGGAATGTGGAATTTTCACCACTCTGGCTCAGGCGTGTAAACAGTTGATAAAGCACCGCCTCAATGCTCATTTGAGCAGCAAAACATTTGCCAAGAGCCGCTTTGCATGTGTGCACTTACAATTCTGAAGCTGTGTACGTATCTATTGGATTAAAGAAATATTATTGTTTAAAAGTGTATATATACACATAAAAAAACATGTGCTGGTAGGGTTACACGGACTCTTGATAGGTCTGATAGGGGATGCCACAGCAAGCGAATGGTTGGGACCAAGCGGAGTAAGGAGACGTTCTGAAGCCCAGATCAGGGGGCGTGAACACCTTCTGTTTTTTGCAGAACCTGGCACCGGAGCCTCAATATGGGGCACCTCGACGAAACTCGCTCACTATGGGGATAACGAGAGCGAGGCAACCCAGCTTAGAGGCCTGAATGCATTGCAGACTCAGGGCGCACTCATTACACACACGAAGCACTTGTCACAATTGGACCACAATACCTTTGCTGATCTTGTCACGGGGCATAAACCATCCATGTGAACGTTGGTTATCCTCGCAGAAGCGGCTTTTAATTAACCATCGAACGAAGACGGTCACTGCATCGCGCGTTTTCGATTGCACTTCTGCAGCCGCGTGGAACGATCTTCCTTCCGATATGAGGCAGCCACTGGAGCTGATGCACTTTTAAATATAGATCGTGAACCCTTTTCTTTAGAACTGATTTTTGTGCTTAGTTTGTTGTCATTCTCCCACGCCTCCAAATAGCATGGTTGGCTACGTACGGTGCAAAAGAAGTTGAACATACATACAACCATTATGAAGCTTGTGGCGTTGATAGCTAATCAGAGCTTACGGGATAAACAAAAGTGAGCTTTTAAATCTCTACAAATGAAATGAAAGTTGGGTGCCACTTGCCTCAGCTGTCCACGGCATTGCCAAACGCAGCCTCGAACCGGACTGAATTTTGTCCGCGGTTCCAGACGCGGACAAAATCCAGACGCAGTCTGGACCGCGGCCTTGCCCTCACTCAGGTGCCTGTGACACCTTTTGACCTCTCCTTGTTCGCAAACTTACACGCGTCGTAGCTGATCCACAGTTTCAGAGATGAATGCGCGTTGGCTCAACCACGTGTGGCTTGTACCAGAAGCTCTTAGCATATTTTACTGTGCAGTAAAAAAATTGTTTTAAGATGCCGATATTTATAGGACCCGAAATAGGTGCTTTGGTCATTTGAATTGTTTCTGCGTTCATCAATCATACGCAATTTGATTTTGAAAATTGAACCAATAAACGATAATTCTGCGTTGTGGCCAGCTGACCACCTTTGGCTTGTACCAGAAGCTCTTACCATATTTTACTGCGCAGTATTTTTTTGTTTTTTTTAAAGATGCTGATATTTATAGGACCCGAAATAGGTGCTTCGGTCATTTGAATTGTTTCTGCGTTCATCAATCATACACAATTTGATTTTGAAAATTAAACCAATAAACGATAATTCTGCGTTGTGGCCAGCTGACCACCTTTGGGTATAGAATTAGAACGTCAACTGGGGCGCCAGTAAGCCTTCTGGCCACCGCGCGAGAATATCTGCTGCCTCGGCGAATTGCGGCTAACACAATAAACAAGTTAACAGAAGTTTTTAACTCCCAAAAAAACAGTGCTTCTCTCAGGTCAATCTTTCCCAGGAGTGTTTGTTTGAACGAGGACAACTCCGGGCTGGTTTTTATTTCAGAACCAACACAAACCAGCGAACCTGTTGCGATGGACAAGAGCCTTCTACGGCAATATAGCGTTTGTGCTATACACGGTATTTGTATCGTGTTCATCATGGTGGGCTGTACATCTACTTATTGTAGCTACAGCACAGCGTGAGCGAGTATACATCAGTATTCTCATTTGTGAGTAAGTAGGGTGCGTCGTTGTATTCGTTTATCGTGGAGCAGTGGCACAGTGGTTAGCATTGCATTTCGGAGTGAACCCGGTAACCTAACATGGTAACCGCGAAAGCCGGACCAGCCCGGCCCACCCCTCCTTCACCAACTTGCACGAGCCAGGATGGTGAAGTATGATCAAATAATCCTAATGACCAACGTGGCATTGAGAGGCCTTCATCCAGCAATGAATCGACCAAGGTCTGCAGAATTAACTATTTTATTGTTATCGTTTATATGAATGCGGTACATTCTATATTCAAATGTTTAACATGTGTGCATGTAAATTATTGTATTGTACATGGAAGCGTCGTATAAGTACGTAATTTGACATTGACCATTGATGACTTATTAGTGGAGCATGTTTTTCTTCAGTCATATTAAATCCATACTCTTTGGTTCTTTCGGTAAAGTCACGTAGTTAGAAAAAAAAATAGATCACGACGTTTCGATCGCCACACAAGCAACCGTCTTCAGGTGGGAGTGAGAAGTTTCCCATGAGTTTCTCACTCCCACCTGAAGACGGTTGCTTGTGTGGCGATCGAAACGTCGTGATCTATTTTTTTTTCTAACTACTTGACTTTACCGAAAGAACCAAAGAGTATGGATTTCTGCAGTCACGAAAGCTTAAAATCAAGATTCATATTAAATCCTTTAGGTGAATAGTAAAATGTAAAACGAAAGGTGTAAGGAAAAGAGTTGAACAAAGCAGCAATGTATTTCCTGTTATATATATATTCTAGAATACATTTGTTGAGCACAGGCCCAATTGATAAACATTCCAAGTGGCCAACAACACACAGCACCATTGAAATTGCAACTGATAAGAAGTAACACATTCCTCGACATGTGTTGGGTAAAAGAGACGATTGGAAGGAATTCCGTAGCCTAGCAGTGTGGAAGAAGAAGAAGAAGCAGCGGTGAAGGGAAACGTTTTGATTCCACCACGCACGAGACAAATAACGCTCTCCTCTCGAACCCGACGACGTTCCAATGCCCTCCACCGTGACGTTCCACCAGCTGATCATGTTCAGCCTGCAGCTGGGTTTCGTGGCCATCTACCTGTCGGATCCACTGGTGAGCGCCTTCACCAACGCGGCCGCCATCCACGTCCTCGTGTCCCAAATCAAGAACATGCTGGGCCTGCAGGTGCCACGCTTCTCTGGGCCCGCTTCAATTTTCATGGTACCAATGCAGACCACCTGCTGCAGCCTCCGCACTGCGCCAGGAGCACCACCGACACATTATGTGGGATCCGTTTTTGTAGAGAGAGCGCTGTAATTGTTGGCATCCTTTTTTTATTAGAAAAAAATGCGTATTAAGGAATAGCTCTTACTGGGCTTTGATTCCCCACTATTGCCTGCAAAGTGCAAACTGCCTCTTTTTTTCAAGTGGGTGCCCCCTCATGCCTGTGGGAACTGCGCTCCCGCATGCCTTCTTATAAGGTTTTTTCTCCTTTACAGGGACTTGAATGTAGGTTGTGCAGGTCCTCATTCCGGTCGAATGGGTTATAGCGTGCTTGGCTGCCACTCCATTGCTTATCAGTCGCAATTGAGCTCAACATCGGAGCTCAATGAGGAGGGCCTTCCTTTTTTTACTGTCCAGGGCTCTTTCGCAGTTATGCATGCGCTTGCTGAATCAGCAAGTGAAGTGGCCCAAGCTGCCTTTGATGTTTGATTTATAGTGGATTTTAATTGCATATTTAAATACAAATTTAATCCAGCATATAACCGGGATACATCTGTGTGCGATGGATCCTGCATTCGGCAAGAGTTTCAAGCAGTAGAGTAAGCATTACTCAATGATGATAGTTTGTAAATATTTCAGAAGCTGTGCCAAAAGCAGCCCTGGAATGATTGTTTTTAGACTGGCGAGCTCTCCAGTTATATAGAGCGAGCTTTGGGGGCACTCGTGTGATCGTGTGTGGGGTGCTGGAGCTTACGGTGTGGAGTGGTGCTATGTGGGTCCGTGGATCCAGTGCTGTTCAACAAATTAGAAAAAACCTAAAGTGATATGTTTTACGTGAAAAGTGGCGAGATCATATTCACACCAACAACGCACTTTGCTTTGGTCCTGATGTCGTTTAAAACTTTGAGAGACAATTAAACCACTGGCCTTGTTACACCATTGCCGTCGAAAGGTGCAGCCTGGGCCTTGACTCATGAGACGTTTGACGATTCAATAACCACTCAAAGTTGGAGGAGGAAAACGGCCAACGCTCTGCAACTTTGGTCAATTTCCTAAAAAAATATATAAACTCATGAATCCGGGTCTTTCTGCTCATACCATGAAGAACATTTTTTCTGGCACGTCACATTGATAGATAATTTCAAGATAAAATGTTACCGAACGTGAAAATATTTAATGAGTTCATCGAAAGTACAATGATATGTTGTTACTTGTTTGTGTTTTTTTTATGTTTTTCAGACAATGGTTGATATTTTTCAGAAGCTACCGAACACAAATATAGCAGAGCTGGTGACGTCGCTGGTGTGTTTGACTGTGCTCATTCCAGTGAGAGAGATAAACCAGCGGTACAAGAGTAAGCTCAAAGCTCCAATTCCTGTGGAACTGCTCCTGGTGAGAACCCAAGAACAGTTATAACACCCTCTAGCATACTACAGTTTTCTAAAAGTGAAAGCTAAACCATTCTACAGCAGAACCAAAGTAAAGTTAGTCTGTTAAAATACAATTTGGATTTGATATAGCATCTAAATGGAACCATATCTCAAGGTTCTGGACAAGCCAACGGGACATGACATTTGGCGGAAAGAAGATATCGATGATTAGTTTGTTTTATCAAGAGAAAAATACGTAGAGGATAAGAGGAAAGTTGTGAGGAATTATATGAACGGGTGTCAGGGAGCCAACAGCACAGATGGCCGGGGACAGGACATTGCAGACCCTAAGGGCAGTGGAGGGGAATGATCGATCTCCGCTTGAGCAAAGGTTGACTGGGGCTTCAACTGAAGGTTGATGGAGGAGAGAGTGCATGGAGGGGAGTAGAATGAGATTAGAGGGAAGAAGTAGGAGAGTGCGTAGAGAGGAGTAGAGTGAGATTAGAGGGGAGAGGTAGGCAGGGGTGAGCCGACAATTTTGAACATGGTAAGTGCGTTCTTCAAGTTGATTTAACATCGGATATGGAGCCAGAAGAGAGATCAGAATAATGCAATAATGTAGTTCATGTATACAAGTACGTACGAGAAGTGTTGCAGTGGTAATTTGGATCATCAGGAGTTTGGAGGTGAGGGATTTGAGAGGGCCAGAGAGGAGAGATGGAGGTTTGGATAAAGGTCTCGGTGGCAGCTTGGCTCAGGACACGGGAGAATCTCGTGCACGCGGAGGTGCCAGGTGCTGCCTCATTGAGAGAATCGGCATCGCAATCTTAATTTATTCTGGAGAAATCCGATGAGCTTTGAAGCTCTTTTTCGCAGATGTTCAGTGAGGGTCACGGGGTCAGAAAGTTACTACAACAACAACAACAATGTGAGAAGGAGAACGGAAATGAACGAGAGTTACCGTTGAACCAGAGTGCTCAGAATCGGGGATAACTCCGAGGTTTCACGCTCTGTGCAAGTGCAGTGTCAGAATCAAGGATGTGGACTGTCAATCCATCGTTTTTTTTATTGAATTTAATTTGTTGACAAATGTCATTATTTTATGAAGTTAAATGAGAGTGCTTCTTCCCAACAACATTATGCCGGCATTTCTCGATTTGGGAAGAGATTGTACTGACCCTTGTTTTTAATGAAAATTACGTACTGCTGTGTAAATCAACAAATAAGAGTCAAGTACTCGAAGCAATGCATCTAAAAGGCTTCTGACCCCCCCCTTACACTGGAACAAGCTGCCCCTACGTGTCAAACATTCGGCTTCACTTTAATTTTTTGTTCTCTTAAAACACTCACTTACCAAAATTCCTCTTCCCTACTCCCTTCCGCCTCATCGATAAACACCATCCCTCTTCCCAACTTCACCGCCCATTCAGCACACTCGCTCATCATGAACCACTCATCACGAACCACTCATCGTGAACCACTCATCACGAACTACTCATCGTGAACCACTCATCATGAACCACTCACCATGAACCACTCACCGTGAACCACTTATCCTTAACCACTCATCATTAATCACTCATTATGAAACACTCATTACGAACCGCTCATCATGAACCGCTCACCGTGAACCACTCATCGTGAACCACTCATCGTGAACCACTCACCATGAACCACTCATCACGAACCACTCATCGTGAACCACTCATCATGAACCACTCATCATGGACCACTCATCGTGAACCACTCATCGCGAACCATTCATCACGAACTACTCATCACGAACCACTCATCGTGAACCACTCACTGTGAACTACTCACCGTGAACCACTCATCATGAACCACTCACCGGGAACTACTCATCGTGAACCACTCATCATGAACCACTCATCATTAATCACTCATCATGAAACACTCATCACGAACCACTCATCATGAACCGCTCATCGTGAACCACTCATCATGAACCACTCATCGTGAACCACTCATCGTGAAGCACTCATCATGAACCACTCATCATGAACCACTCATCGTGAACCACTCATCATGAACCACTCATCCTGAACCACTCATCATGAACCACTCATCATGAACCACTCATCCTGAACCACTCATGAACCACTCATCATGAACCACTCATCACGAACCACTCATCGTGAACCACTTATCATGAACCACTCATCATGGACCACTCATCGTGAACCATTCATCACGAACTACTCATCGTGAACCACTCATCGTGAACCACTCATCGTGAACCACTCATCGTGAACCACTCATCGTGAACCACTCACTGTGAACTACTCATCGTGAACCACTCATCGTGAACCACTCATCATGAACCACTCATCATGAACCACTCATCATGAACCACTCACCGGGAACTACTCATCGTGAACAACTCATCATGAACCACTCACTGTGAACTACTCACCGTGAACCACTCATCGTGAACCACTCATCATGAACCACTCACCGGGAACTACTCATCGTGAACCACTCATCATGAACCACTCATCATTAATCACTCATCATGAAACACTCATCACGAACCACTCATCATGAACCACTCATCATGAACTACTCACCGTGAACCACTCATCATGAACCACTCATCATGAACCACTCACTGTGAACTACTCACCGTGAACCACTCATCGTGAACCACTCATCATGAACCACTCACCGGGAACTACTCATCGTGAACCACTCATCATGAACCACTCATCATGAATCACTCATCATGAAACACTCATCACGAACCACTCATCATGAACCGCTCATCGTGAACCACTCATCATGAACCACTCATCGTGAACCACTCATCGTGAAGCACTCATCATGAACCACTCATCATGAACCACTCATCGTGAACCACTTATCGTGAACCACTCATCGTGAACCACTCATCATGAACTACTCATCATGAACCACTCATCATGAACCACTCATCGTGAACCACTCATCGTGAACCACTCATCACGAACCACTCATCATGAACCACTCATCATGAACCACTCATCGTGAACTACTTATCCTTAACCACTCATCATTAATCACTCATGAAACACTCATCACGAACCACTCATCATGAACCGCTCACCGTGAACAGCTCAATATGAACCACTCATCATGAACCACTCATCGTGAACCACTCATCCTCGCTTTCATCATTGTTTATTTCACGCGTCATCACATTCACCATGCACTGCCATCCTTCTCATCAACTCATCTCATCCCATCACACTTCTGCTGTACAAATTGCTACTTATTTGTTCGGCGCCTTCATCAAGGCGCTATATAAATTAAAATAAGATAACACATATCCCGCTGACATTTTATACCGAACCATAATATTTCGTTCTATTCTTTGCATGGATGATAGAAAATAGCATGCCAACGGAAACATACTTTTTCCTGCAAATTCCAATCTTGGCGTGATTATAATCACAATAGGGCACGCCAAAGTGCCCTATTTTGGCGTGATTATAATATGATTATAATATGATTATAATCACGCCAAAATAGGGCACTTTGGCGTGCCCTATTGTCAAATGAGTCCGGGCAACTGAATTCAAAGTCTAAACCGGATGAAACGTGCGCCCCTTGTTTTAGATTATTCTGGCTACCGTCATCTCCTTCTACGCCCGGCTGGAAGAAAAGTTTGGAGTTACAGTGGTTGGGAATATACCTGCCGGGTGAGCCTGTTTTTACAAATCCAAATACAACAACATTTTGGAATAATCAAGGGTAGAACATGTCTCGTGTGTGTGCTAGGCCTTGATAGCTTTTGCCCAAATACTCTTCAGAATTATATGGGGGTGGGGGGAGGGGAAATATTTGTCTTTGCGTGATTGTATGTATGTACGTCGACTCGGCCTAAAATGATTACCCGGTGCGATGTGTAGTAAACATCGCCACTGGAGAGACAAAGGCGGCCGGGCGTGTTGCTGACCACCCACCTCGTGTGCCGTGCCGACCTTCACAGGTGCTCGCTAATGGCACTTGCCCCAAGGCTACAAAGGGGATATTTGCCTTTGTTTTGTGTTTTGTCTGTTCACTGTGGCTAGGCTGCCAGTGCCGCAGCTGCCAACTGTGACCAACTTCTCCTCGCTCATCGCCGACGGACTGGCGATAGCGATCGTCGGCTACGCCGTCTCTGTGTCGTTGGCAAAGATCTTTGCAAAGAAGCATGGTTATACCGTCGACGCCAATCAGGTATTACAATTTTAGACGCCTTATAACCACGTGTAGTGTCACTGATTCGGAGACAGAGTTTGTAGGAGGCACCTTATTTATTAAACACAACTTCCACGGTCTCGTCCGCACACTCTCCACAGTAGCTCAGCCTAGCCTGTACACAACACTAGCCGTCTAACACTGATGGCACTGACTTAGATAGCCAACTACTATCCTTCGTAGCGTGATATTGAGCGGAGACGTTTAGCGACGACGGCGACGAGATGACAGCAACAATGAGACGAGTCCATTCCCAGAACCGGCAACCTCGAGCCCCCCGCTCTCGGCTCCTTTTATGCTCCCAGCGCGGCCTGACTCCGCCCTGACCACGCCTCCCTTCTCGCTCGAACCCGCTAGGAGGTTCCAGGGGCCTCCAGATGGGGTCCTCCATGACCCTTGCCCTAATTCCTCCGCACTGCCAACACACCGTGCACATGCTCACTGGCCTGTGTACTGTCTGTCCACCTCAGTTGCCGCTGCTATCCACCAGCCGGCGCTATTATACTACAGATGCACTGCATTGCAATGCTTGGAAACGAACTCTACTGAGAGGGGCTGCGTTGATGTTACTTGGTCCAGTCAAGGTCTACGTATACCATCAAGAAAACGCCCATGATGCCCATCGTGCTGCAGACATATAGGGTCTCAGAGTATCATTGGTTCGGAAGAGATGCCTCATAGCGTAGTGATTATAGCCGGTTAATAGATAACACATGCAGGGCGGTCGAGTGTGGCACAGTGGTTAGCTTCTTTTAACAATTTTTATATACCAGGTTAGGCCCACTGAGCTATACAGCTCTTTTTCAGAAGTGACCTGGCCACAAGTGATAGCACAACGAAGTGGCTTATCACGTGGAAATGTATAGCAGCCGAATTCTCTAAACGCATGTTTCTAAATGTGGAGGGGTGACACCGGAGGACGCGGAGAAAAATCCACGTGATCACGGGGAGAGAGACACGCAAACTCCAAATATACAGCCATCAGGGTCGGGATAGAACACACGATCTCCTGTATACCAAGCGAGTGAGATAACATTTCGCCACCATGATTTTATGAGCACGGTAATCTGAGTATGATGACCATCTACGGATAACATTGGTGGTGGTGCAGGATGATTAAACAACCACCATGATTGATGGAGCATATGGAGGCCTTCATCCAGCAGTGGATGGGCTGTACATTATTATTTATTATTCTTCAATAGGTCACAACTGCTAAGTGCATTACTTTTTATGGTGGAACCTACCCTCAAACTAGGAAAACATGGTCAACCCTTTCCCTTATCCTTGATCTCTGAACATAAAGCAGACTTGAAACACGGTAGGACAAACTCCTCAGCCGTGGCAGATCACTGTTACAATTTAGTGGGCTCACATGATATTGACTTCTCCAAGACAGAGGTTCTCTGCAAGCCATCTGGCTACCATGAGAGATTCGTTCATGAGGCGATCCACATATACAAATATAGAGACAATTTCAACCGAGAAGATGGATTCTGGCTCATCAATCATTGGAAGGACGTAATAAACCATTTCGGATCTTAACTGATTGTGTTCACGTTTACGGTGACTTTCAGACCGCGTTCCACTCACTGGCATTGACTATATATCTTGTATTCTCCGCAGGGAATGGATTATTTTCTCCGCTGCAAGTCTCCTTACACTACTCTCCCATTGACATATTTCGTTGCTTCCTCTTAGTATCTTTCACGCGACGGTCAATGGTATAGTGTATAGCGGATTGTATAATAATAAATAGTATAAAATTGTAATGTTTAATACAATGTACAAAGTAATATATAGTATCGTTATTGTATAGTGAATATACAGCAGTGTGATATACAGTAGGGTGGGTAGAATAATACATAGTGTAATATTACAATGTATAGTGGTGTATAGTAATGTTGGGTTTGTCTATGGCAGTATATAGTACGGTGTAGACTCGTGTGATGTAAGAGAATAAAGTTTAGCTAGAAGCATATTATATTTTTTGCGACGTAGAATTGTAATGTATTACTTACTGTTAGTAGCTCAGCTTATTGGAGAGTATATTTAGTATACTGATGATACTATGTAGTTTATACTTTAGTTGTTTACGTGGTGGTTTAGTTACTGCAGCTACATACTATAAATATTCCTTCCCTTTATTAATGTTACCCCTATCCCCTCCCTTTGGTGCTGCTAATCCTGCATAATGCACGGGCATAATGACTTTAAACCCCCCGCCAAACCTCCTACACATTTCACAAGTAGTACTAATCGCATATCTGCATTTGCCATAAATATGCTAAATTCCTCTTGATATGCAAATTATTTTGTCAAGGCGCTCTTCCCCCCTCCATCCCAGCTTAAATAGACGCTCCAAGCCTGGGGTGTGTCATTCAGACTCTGTCTTCTCGACAGACCTGTTCTCCGCCTGAGGACGGTTGCTTGCGTTGTGGCCGAAACGTCGTGAGAATTATTTTATTATGTTTTATTTTTATTATTTTATTATTTCCATTCTACGTGACTTTACCGAAAGAACCAAGAAGATGAATCCCTGCAGTCACGAAAGCTTTAAATCGAAATTTTACTGCTCCTCTGTTCAGTTGATCTTGGTTTTTCAAAGCCCTTTATTTATTCAACTTTTCATTGAGCAATTTATTATTCCAATTTTGTCTGCCACGTTTCATCTAGAAAAAAAATCAGGCATGGGGACATAATACAGTGCAGGCTGTATAATGTACTGGTCCTTAGGCCTGCAGCAGGGTGCAGTTCATGAATTTGACTTCAAAGTTGAAACAAAAGGGGTTGCAAAAATGTGTACTGTGGTCATGTAACGAAGTGTTTAGGTGACAAATACACAGGATTTTGGGGAAATGGTGAAGTGGGTGCCGTAGTGGCCATATGTTAACTACCTCGCCTTGTATACACGAGGCTATGCGTTTGATCCCGAGCCTGATGCCTGCTGTATATTTGAAGTTTGCATGTTCTCCCCATGGTTGTCTGGATGTTTCTCCGGGTCCTCCTGTTTATCCCTCCACTTTTAGAAACATGCGTTTGGAGTATGTTGCTGTTATATATTTTTACATCATGATACGCCACGTTTTCCATCTATCATTTGTGCCCAGGTCGCTTCTGAAAAAGAGCTATATATTGCTCAGTGGACCTTACCTGGTAAAATAAAAAAAATAGTTTAGTTTTAGGTGGTTAGCACGCTTGCCCTGTGAACCCAAAGACCTGATTGCCAAACCTGGGCGCACAGTTAATGGTAGTAGTGATTGCTTGCCTACCTCAGCTCTGCGGCTTTTAGGAGTTCCGCAAATCTGCATGATGTTCAAACCCGTCCCTCCAATGCAGTAAATCACAGGCGTGTGCCGCCACACTCTCAATTCTTGGAAACGTCGATTTCCCTGCCCTCCTACCAGTTGGCTCGGCACTCTGCCCAGAATCCATGATTTGAAACAAAAATGTGGAAGCACTGAATGTTAAAAGCGATTGAATAAAGCACCATCGTGCCTGGATGGTGGTGGCAATTTGAACGCCTGTAATCCTGCACTGTGGAGGAGAGGGTTGGTGAATGTCGCGAAACTTCCTTCCCGTGGACGTCAAGGAAGAGCCATACTCTGGCTAGCCAGGAGGTACAGGAAAGTGTAGACCAATATCACATATCTCTTCTGTACGGTATAGAGTCTTTACCCCTTGCACTTGTGGGTTTTCTCCAGGTACTCCAGATTTCCTCGTGCATGTACTAACACTCATTAATTGCCTAAAAATATCTTTATATATAGAGGACTGCAGAGCTTGAGTGATTGTTGGCACCGCCTCGCCGGCTCGCCACCTGGCTGCCTTCTCGCTTGATTGGGCATACTTAGTGGTTGTGAGATGCAATTTGCATTCACAATGTTACATGAAACTAAACATTATTCTTGTCTTTCCACTGCTGGATAATGGCCTCCCTCACGGTCCTGCGATGCGACAATTCATCTCGCTCCTGCACATGCACTGATCCCATCGATCCGTCCCTGCAGTGGTCGTCTTCTCGGGCGTGTTTTCCTCCTACCGTTGCCATTCCATCGCCAGTCTCTTCCACCGGCCATCATCCCAAGCCTTTCCTCACACGTCACTATGACTGTAAACAGTTTATATCATTGCTGACAGTGTCACGTGTTTGTATCGTTCCCTGATGCCCGTGCTCCTCTTTCTGTCCCTCGGTGTAACTGGAAGCGTGCGTCTCTTCACGCTTCATTCCACGCTTTTGAGCTTTTGTTTCTTCTCCTTTTGTCTGTGACGTCGAAGCTGGCGCTTCCGATGAGCACGGTTTGCTACGTACGGTGCAAAAAAAGTTCTACATAAATACAATGTGCAGTAATCGAAAACCTTCCTCTTCAGGCACGATTAGTATCCGCTTTTTCATGATTCACTTTTACAAAAGTGAACAATTATTACCGGTAACTTAACTTAGCCTAACCACAGTGGTAGGGGCTCTCTTCCGGACCAGTTCTATACCCACCAGGCTTCTCTAAACAACACTGGGGTTACACCAAGTTTAAGAATGACGGTGATGTTAACCGTATATTAGGCACTACATAGATATTTCAAGAAATGTATTTTGATTCGATTTGCATTGTTTGTGTCATCTCTTTTAGGAACTATTTGCGCACGGAGTTTGCAACCTCTTTGGCTCATTCTTCCAGTGCTTCCCAAGTGCTGCTTCTATTTCCAGGACCTCCATTCAGGAAGGGACAGGAGGGAACACGCAGGTACAAATAACCATCACTTAGAACAATTGGGATTACACGTACGGCAGCAAAACATCGCCTCTGACTGGCAGCATAACGTCCGCTTGCGAACCAGATGCTGAGTTGTCACCTTGTGCCGCACAGGGACAACTGCCACTGGGGGTGCCCTCTCTAATGTTTGAGATGAGGTGCTAGGCGCTTATTCCGTGTAAAGCGTTCTCAGATGTACCGAGGTAAAGTGTTGCCATTATCAAGGAGATTTTCACTGAGTTTCAAGAATTGTTATAAGGCCAATATGGTAATTGACATGGTCCAGCGGTAGTACATTTGCCAGTTGTTGCAGAGGTTCACGGTTCGAATCTGGCAGGACACCCTGGTTAAACTGGCAGGTATGTATGTATGTAGAACGTCTTCCGCAACCATGCGTAGCCAACCGTGCTAATCGGAGGTGCAGGGAAAGGACAGCAAACAAAGCACAAAAAGCAGTTAGAAAGAAAATCGTTTTCAAACTAGATTTAAAAGTGCATAGCTCCAGTGGCTTCCGAATATCCGACAGAACAGCGTTCCAGACGGCCTCTCAAGCGCATTTGTATTTACCATAAAAAAAATGCCATCTGCTTCACCGGTCACGTATGGTCATTCAGAGAAAAGTAGGCGATTGTCTGCCAACCTTACCGTAAAATTTTGAACAATGACTTGCAAATTAGTTACCTGTGAATCAGATAGGAATCATTGCCCCTTGCTGAGAAAGAGTCTTCACACTCAGTGAGGTTTTCCCATAATCAGAGTAATAGCTTTTCACACAGTAAATTACATGCTTTGTTTAAGTTACATTTTACACGTTACACAAAGCTGTATATGAACCTTATGGCGGGACCCCGGGGTCCCGAATAAATGGAAGTCAAAATCGTAGTTAATGTATTTTTGGCGACTCCGTCCCACCGCACACATAAACGCCGCGACCCACCTGGCTCGGATCATTCTGTTGTCATGTCGTTGCCAAAATTTCCGTAGTCATGAACAAAACATTGAAACTTTGATCAGCGCATCGTGTAGAGCTCGTCGAGAGGAATATATTGCTTTAACGTTCGCGTTCAACAGACATTAAATGATGTAGTAACGTAGTTTATGCGAGAGCCGGGGGCTTATGGGACCCCGGGGTCCTGCCATAAGGTTCATATGTTGTGCTGTCACAGCGGGTGAATCACCTCCCTACAATGTGCCTTTGTCATCCTCATGCTCACTGGCCTTACAAATAAGAATAGCGAACATTTCAGAAATAAAAAACATAATTACGATGATAATAATCATCATCATTCATAAACGTAGCCAGAGTGAGTTCGCAATCCTTTAGTGACAACTCTGCTGTCATATACCAGCCACCTGTGCTGAACACTGTATTAATCACATTTCAGAATCAATATTTTTGGGAAAATACCCAAGGGAATTTAATGGGGGTTTTTTTTTTTCCCCTGATACAGATGTGTTTACTTTCAAGATTTTTCTAAATGTTTTTGTTTCTCCCCCCACCACCACCATGATAGCCTCACTTAGTTGGGGCAGCACACCCCCCCCCCACTACGATTCTTTTCCCACAACCCCCTGCATACGGCACAGTTGCGTCGGGATGGTTTTTCGCGATTGTTGCCTCCTGGACTTGGATTGTGCGATGGGCTGTAACGGGCTCATGTTTTGTGAAGCAAAGCAAACAAATCTATATTTTGTTTCCTTTTGCTATTGTGGGTAACCTTTGACCTTGCAGCTCGCCTCTGGCATATCCACCATGGTGGTGTTGGTTGTCCTCCTGGCTGTGGGACCTCTATTTAGAGCTCTACAGAGGGTATGTACAACTTTTTCTTTATTCCCATACATTCTGATCACTTGCTACCACCCGCTTTACATAGTTGCCACGACGTGTATTCGGCTTTGACGGCGTAATTCACGAGCAACGGATGAATTGTGAAACTAATGAAATGTAGTTGATCTGAGATGAAGAATGCCACAAAACGTGTACTCATATTTGATAATTTATAGTCAAGATATTTTCGTGCTCAAAGTAGTATTGGGCATTGCCCCTATACAATAGTAGCCCTCAGACAGTGATGTAAATTATACTGTTATGTTGTAAGTCAGCCTCGAGCAGTCTACGTCATGGACTGTGGAGGAATATTGTCTTGAACGAACTACACTGAGCTTGATTTGAACCCTCCCAACCTTCTGGCTGAGTTGTGCACTCTAACCACAGTGCCACGTGGTTGGATATTTTAAAGCGAGTGGACATTTTAAGCACTGCATTTGAAAGTCTCTACTCAAGCTGGGGATCTGTTATTTGTTGAAGAGAACAATGTGGTGTTAAAATGTCACAACCTTTTAATGTTACACGTTTGCTGTTCAATAGTGTGCATTGCAATGTTTGTGTATGTGCAGTCCGTTTTAGCGTGCATCATTGTAGTGGGCCTAAAGAGAATGCTCATGCATTTCACTGACCTGAAGCAACTGTGGAAAATCAGCAAGGTGGATTTTGTAAGTACCGTGCTGTGAAGCAAATGACATAGTTTGGCATTATGCTGTAATTGTGTCACAAATAATCGTAATCAGAAGGCGAGCCGTTTTCAAATATTAACCTTTTTCAAATCAATATTCTCACATGATGAATTTGAACACAATAGTCCCTTGGTTAACAGTGACATCGATTAACAGTTTTTTTTTAAATTAACGTTTCGCCTCCCATAGGGGCCCCATGGTTTCGATGAACGTAAAAATTCTGATGAATTTCGGCCAATCTGAGCCCTCGTAACTGGGGCTGAGCCATGCCCTCAGCCAATCAGCGACGCCCATTTATTAGCCTTTAGACCTCGACTGGCTTTGTTTACATTGCGTTTTCTGTTTTGGCAGTGGAAACAGCTCTCTTGAAGACTCAGTGATTTTTACTTATTTTTCAACTTATAAGTTAATCAATAGTGATTGCAATGCCCCCTAAATTGAATTTGCAGACGGAAAAGAGGCATAGGAAAGTAATTCGTGTTTAAATGTCATAAACTATGTTTTTGAGGTCAAAAAGGTCAACTTGGAACGGATTCATGCTTTTAACATTTAATTTCTATATCCGATTAACAGTTATTTCGATTCACGGTAGTTTTCGTGGAAAGGATTAAAAACGTTAACAAAGGGACTACTGTGTACGATTGTCATAACATTGGCAGATTCTCAACCTGCAAAGTCCTCCTATAACTGCTGCCACTGCCGATGGTCTCGGGCTGTGGTAGTCTTTGCGACAGAGCTGCTCAGCTCAATTGGGGCCTTCCCGGCTGAAATGAAGTCGGGGTCTGACATGACCCTGACAAAGGGGTAGGGGAGCAACGTACATTTTTTTTCTCGCTCACCCTTCTAGTGGCCACCAATATCAACAAACAATAAGTAAAATTGTTAGAAGCAGCTATACAAACAAGAGTTCCTCGGGTTTATTATCTTGGGAGTGAATTTATAGCATGTGCTTCGTGGTGGGTACATTATTTACAAAAGCCAGCTGTTTTCAAAGTGTTTTTAAGGGAGTTTGTTTTTCAAGTTGTGGTAAAAAGATGAAAATGTATACAAACGAGCGACAAACACAGGGGTTAAGACAAAAGGGCGACTGTCTTCATTAAAGTATACACTACAAACGGCTTTAAACGTTTAAAACAAACTTTAAAGGCGACGATATTATCTCAAAATGCACTGCACGAAAGAAAGCACTTCATTGTAACAAAACGCCGAAATAATCGCACTGAAATATTGAGAGCCCATGAATAAGCGTGTAATTAAATAAAAACAAAAGACACCCGGGGATTCTGAGCTACCTATACATATGTAGAACTTTTGTACGTACCCAACTGTGTTAATTGGAGGTAAGGGGCCTATCTTTCTGATCATCACAAGTTTAAAATTACTATGCCAAAAACATAAAAAAAAATCGCTTGACAGTATTTGCTGTGAATAGAAATCATAGCTGGGCAAATTTTTGCAGAGAAAAACCCCTTAATATCACAGCACTTGTTACATTGTAGCTATAGGGATAATGCAGCACGTCGCATGGAATGCTGGATTCTGTGCAGCAAAGTATTATACCTGAGTAGTAAGGCGATAGTAATTAGAATTTTCTTTTCACTGGATTATTCGCAAATATTTGTTGGGAAGTCGGTCGCAAAATTATGCCACTAAAAGCAATTCTACGTCAAGATGGAATTGTAATGCAGGGTTCGTGTATTCACGTCATCATGAAAGAATCAGCTGAGTCTTAAGATTAAATCAAGAGAATCTGACATGATATTTGACCAACGCCTTTGTGGATTTTGCCAGAATGTGGGATAAAACCGCAGACCCCAGAGGAAAACACACATTTAATGAGATAACATTCTGAAACATGTACAGGCAAGTCAACAGCCTACTTGCTGCACTGACACATGTGCACCTTCCTGTTCCGCCCAGACAGGTGGGTCTCATCAACGCAAACAAATCTGTGTGATCCCCCCCCCCCACCGTTCTAGATTACAAGCGTGTGCCGTAGTGCATCGGAAGTAATTAGTGTATCCCTTTTCAGAATTATTAGTGTACCAGCGTTAAATGTCAAGCGCCTCGAGTGGATCGAGCCTAATAGAGTGCCGTACATGGTTTCCAGTACATCTGGCTCGTCACCTGGCTCGCTGTCCTGCTGCTGAACGTGGACCTGGGCCTGGGTGTCGCCGTGGCATTTTCCTTGATGACGATCGTCTACCGCACTCAGAGGTGAGCGAGGCGAAGCAGCGCACGGTCGCCCACGGTGCAACAGTGGCAGTGTTGAGTGGCGTGGCTACGCCAAGTGTGTGTGTGTGTTTGGAAACGATGCCTGGGCGTAATCACCATGGTGAGTTGGCAGGGGCATACGGCGTTAAATCTCATCACTTATGTATGTACTCTCACGATCTAATGGGATTAAAATGTATTGCCACTGCTTTGCTCGGAAAAAGAGTCTCGCTTAGTTGGGAGACTGTTTCTTTTGTTTGGTTAAGGAGAGCCCTGCATGGAAACGATTGTCCAATTCCATTAACGAGTGTCACGCCTGTGGGATGAAACTCAAAGTACGTGGAGAAGACCCACACACATACAAGGAAGGGGGTGACGCTCGAAACTCTGCACAGATAGTCAATAATCCATTGCTGCACTGCCATATTCTGGCCACCCTTGCAGCCATGCTTACAACACCTGACAAGCCCTGGTGGTTTCCCTTCGGAGTAATAACAATATTCTAAATCCTGCTTAGCTTATGAGCTCTAAAAACATTGGACTTATTCAGGATGCAACGGTGAGAACTAAAGTATTTCTGCTTGATAAATGCACAATTGTGATGAAAGCAAATGCATGCTGTGGCTTTGTCTCTCCGGTTTAGGCCAGATTGTAAACTGCTCGGCAGAATACCAAACACTGAACTCTACAGACCACTGGATGAGTTTGCAAAGGTAACCTACAATTTTTTTATGATCCCATCAAACGATCTGATTGGGTATTTTCTGAAATGTGAGAGACTGGTGATATGTTTCAATGCAATGGCCTCATAAAAGATATTGAGCTAGAGTTGAAATGTAGAGTAATAACAAGTATTACAACCTTGTGTGAAGTGTCATTAAATGACACAATCATCTTACCTACAGTGAGGGAAAACAGTATTTGATCCCCTGCTGATTTTGTACGTTTGCCCACTGACAAATAAATGATCAGTCTATAATTTTAATGGTAGGATTATTTAAACAGTGAGAGACAGAATAACAACAAAAACATCCAGAAAAACGCATGTAAAAAAATGTTATAAATTGATTTGCATTTTAATGAGGGAAATAAGTAAGATAGCAGGTACCACCACAGTCAGTATGCACTGCTGTTGTGATAGTAGATACTGCTATCGAGTTGGTAGATACTACCAGGGTTGCGATTTCCGCATGGAAAATGCGGAAGGAGGGTTCAAATTTTCCCGCATTTTTGCTAAAGTCAACCGCAAACGGTGGAAAGACTACTCCTATGACCGCGCGCTTTTAACAACACGTCAATGCGTTCTATTGGAAAGGATATATGCAAGTCCCAACATCACGCAGGGCTTTGAGCTACTGATTGCAATGAATATATGATTTCCGCATTTCCGCACAAGAACCACATACTTTATTCAAATGCAGAGCCGTGATTACGAGCAAATGTACTTTATTCAAAGGCAGAGCGTGATTACGAGCAAATGTACTTTCTTCTTCTTGGTTCTTTCGGTAAAGTCACGTAGAAGGGAAGTAATAAAATAATAAAAATAAAACATAATTAAACAATTCTCACGACGTTTCGGCCACAACGCAAGCAGCCGTCCTCAGGTGAAGAATGAGACAATGCCAAGCTAGGAGCTTATATATAAGCTGCGTTGGAGGTGGAAGAAAGAGCGCCTTAACAAAAGAATGTGCATATGAAGAGGAATTTAGCATATACATGGAAAATGCGTAGGAGGTGGGCGGGGGGGTTTCAAAGTCATATTATGCTCATGCATTATGCAGGATCAACAGCACCAAGGGGGGGGTGCAGGGATTAGCAGTAACAAAGGAAAGGAATGTTAATGATGTGTAGCTGCAGTTACTCAACAACCACGTAGAAAACTAAAGTTTTTTTATGTAGTTTATACTTTAGTTTTCTACGTGGTTGTTGAGTAACTGCAGCTACACATCATTAACATTCCTTTCCTTTGTTACTGCTAATCCCTGCACCCCCCCTTGGTGCTGTTGATCCTGCATAATGCATGAGCATAATATGACTTTGAAACCCCCCCGCCCACCTCCTACGCATTTTCCATGTATATGCTAAATTCCTCTTCATATGCACATTCTTTTGTTAAGGCGCTCTTTCTTCCACCTCCAACGCAGCTTATATATAAGCTACTAGCTTGGCATTGTCTCATTCTTCACCTGAGGACGGCTGCTTGCGTTGTGGCCGAAACGTCGTGAGAATTGTTTAATTATGTTTTATTTTTATTATTTTATTACTTCCCTTCTACGTGACTTTACCGAAAGAACCAAGAAGATGAATCCCTGCAGTCACGAAAGCTTTAAATCGAAATGTACTTTCTCTTCTTCGCATTCTTCCAGCGCTTCATGTTGTCTTCGGCATCAAAGTTGCTGAGTTTTGGTCCGTCGCGGGCGCAAACCATAAGCGCGTTCAACTGCTTGCACGTGAGGAGCGACCGCTCCTCGGTCTTGATGTTGTTTTGCAGAGAGAAGGCCCTCTCGCAGTCGACAGACCCGTGCGCCAAAGTCGCAGCGATCTTGATGAGCGTGAGGATCTTGGGGTGGGACTTTTGCATGTGCGAGTTGCTGCACACGACCTTGAGGATCTCCGTCGCGCCGACGCCGCGGAAGCTGCCGATGGCAAAGTACTTGTAGTGGTTGTACTCCGTCACGAGCTCGGAGGAGGAGGCGTCCGGCAGGTAGGTCTTGCCGAGCGCGACGATCTCGTGCACGCCAAAGGTCTGGATGTGCGCCGCCTTGGCGATCTCGTCTGGGTACAGCATGGCGAGCGCCCGTACCGTGGAGTGCGTCTCTTCTGGGAAGCGCTCTTCGAGATGAGCAACAAGGCGCTGTACGTATTCGCCCCCGGCGCGAAAGGTCGCCGCCACCTCGTCCTCGTCCTCGGACTGCACGTTGCCCCCGAGGCGCTCGTTGAGCTCGAGGAGCGCCGGTGTCGAGACGGTGTCGAGCGTCAAAGTGGTCAAGAAGGTGTAGCGCAGCTGCAGGACGGTCGCGGCGACGATGCCTCCAACGCTCACGATGTGCATGTCGTCGGCCTGCAGCGCCGTGCTGAGCATGTTGAGGATGCCGCTCACGTCCGACATGAGCGCGATCCAGACGTGGTAGGCCACGCAGCGCAAGTAGCTGTAGTACTTGGCGGCGGCGACGGAGCTCGTGTCGTCTGCGAGGACCTCGGCCACGGACTGGGCGAGGCGGTGCATGTTGTGCAACGACTGCCCGCGCGAGAGCCAGCGCGTGAACCCGCCGAGGAGCAGCTTGAGGTGCGGGGCCCCGAGCTTGTCCATGGCCGCGCTGAGCAGCTCCTTGCGCGGGAGCGACCTCTTGAAGTAGTTGTAGATGCCCGCGACGACGAGCATGCGCTCCTCCTCGTACTCGCTCTCAGCGTCTTCTGCCGCAAGAGCAGCACGGTGCGCTGGGCAATGTGCCGAAACCAAACGTGGAACTACTGACTTGAGGCGGGCGGCGACGCCCGTGTTGCAGCCCGTCATGACGGACGCACCGTCGCTCGCGAAGCCGATGAGGTCCTCGATGTCGAGGCCGCGGCCATCGAGCAGCTCAATGATGGCGTCGAAGACGGCCTTGGCGCTGCCGCTCGAGAGGGAGACGACGCCGAGCATGCGGATGCAAATGGCGTTGCAGTATACGTAGCGGCCCATGACGATGGCGTTCTTGCTAGATGCCACGTCCGTGCTCTCGTCGCAGCTGATCGAGAAGAACTTGGCCTCGCGCATCTCGTGCACGGTCTTCTCCAAGATGGACGTGCTGCAGATCTCCACCATGTCGACTGCGCTGTCGCGCGAGCAGTAAGAGCCATAGGTGCCGCTGGCAGTGGAGAAGGCCTGCTTGCCCGCATACGAGTTGATGCTGGTCTGCACGAGGCCGCAGATGTGCTCCATCATCGAGTAGGGCAGACTGTGCTTGGCAATGAAGTAGCCGCACCGCAGCGCGTGCAAATGCCAGAGCGTGTAGTCGGCGGCGCCCGACTCGCCGGCCGCCGCGCCCATGCTCTTCTGCTCCTGCTCGCCGCTGCGCTGGAAGGCCAACTCCAAGGCCGACTTTGCTCGGAGCGTCTCGGCGGCCTTGAGGTGGCCGATGCTGTCGCCGTGGTCGACGATGCGGTCGAGGGAAAACTTGCCCGAGACGCCCGGGGTATATCCTTTGTTGCCCTTGTGGAAGATGCACGACCTCGGCCCGGCGGCAGAGCACGTGGTGCAGAAGAAGGCGCTTTTCTCCTCGTCGTACATGAGCCACAGGCGGCCGAGGAACCAGCGCTCGAGGACGATAGGCTTGCTCTTGGTGGTGGGGGTGCTGCTCATTTTTGAATCTGTGTGTGATGTTATGAGCTATTATCGTTAGCAGTAAAGTGTATTTATTTGCAGTAGGTATAGAGTAGCTACGGCAGAGGCAAGTGGGTAGACGCGAGATATGTGCGCCAACCGCGCGAGTACGGCACCGGTATAGGCGGGAATCGAAGTCACGATTTGCGGAAGTCTTCCCAGGAATCACCGCAAATTGCGGAAATTTGTGCGGAAGAGGGTCACAGAAACTACCGCGAAATGCGGTCGAAAACAGCATGTTTGCGGAAATTGGTGCGGAAATCGCAACCCTGGATACTACTAAAACAGTATATACCACTACGGTCAGTTAATACTGCTACAGACAGTACATACTACTACGGTCAGTAGCTACTGCTTTAGAGTCAGCCGATACTACTATAGCGTTAGTAGTTACTACTTTCAAGTCGGTAGATACTACTGTAGGGCTCGTAGATACTACTACGGTCAGTAGTTGCTATAGTCAGTAAATACTACTATACAGTCAGTAGCTACTACTGGCTCAGTAGATGCTACTGTACAGTCAGTAGATACAACTACAGAGTCAGTAGATACTACTTACTCTGTTGTATGTAGGGTGTGTAGGTATATATATCTACGCGGGAGTAAAAAAAAAAATTTGAGGGGGGGGGTCGACAATTTTTGGAAACCTTTCATATCAACTATTTACCCCCCACTTTCTATAACTTTTTCGACTTGTGCAAGCCTCTTATAATTTTGTTGGTGGAGAAATTGACAAACGGCCCACCGGGCTTTCACAATAGCTTAGTATCTGTGTATGTATGTGTAATGTTTTTAAGATAAGTTTTGAAATATATTTTTTGCCCGGGCAACGCCGGGTACTTCCCGCTAGTATAAGATAAAGGTGTATACAGTACAACGCAACAACATATAAATGGGACATCTCAAAAAGCTGTAATGCAATGGTAGGGGCATGGGGCATATGAATGTAAATTGAACTTCTTTCACACCGTACCTAGCCAACCGTGCTAATCGGAGGTGCGGGTGAAGGACAACAAACTAAACACAAAAATCAGTTCTAAAGAAATGAGTTTCCAATTTAAATGTTTTAAAAGAGCATAGCTCCATTGGCTTCTGCATATCGGAAGAAAGAACATTCCAGACGGCCGCAGAAGCGCGCGTCTGAAAGCACGCGACGCTGTGGAAAGAGGTGAGAGGATGTCGGTGAGGACTGTGGCTATACGTGATGGAGAGGATAACAGAGCTCCAGTAATTTCCTTTGCCATTAAAGTTTGAGATAAAACGCTGGCAGTTTGAGAGAGAAGGTGTTGAGCACGGGTCGAGGAGTCAATGGCTATATACAGCTAGGCGGTTTCTGTACAGGAGTTGTGACCGACGTGAAGAAGCTGGAGATAATTTTGTTAAATGGGAGGAGATGGAGAAGCGATACAAGCCCGAGATTGCACCTCGAAGTTTATGTCGGGTCGTCACCTTTTCTGCAGGCCAAACCCGGACATTTTTCTCAGTCCGCCTAGGTCTATAACAAAGCTGTGTACGTACACTGTAATAAAGCTGAAGACTTTACAGTATATGTACCATCCGAATGCCATCCAAATCGATTCCTGCCACTCCGACGCAGATGCCAGTTCCACCAGACTGCCCGTGTCAAACTCTTGGGCCTGCCTACGCCATGGCTTAGGGGCCATCCATTTAGTACGTACGCATGGAGGGGGGGGGGGGTTAACCCAATTGCGTACGCTAGCATATGGGGGGGTCTACTGACTATGTATGTACGCATAGGAAACGGGGGGGGGGGGGTGAAGCCTCGATACAAATTATTTGTCTACATTGGCCTTCAAATGAGTTAGATAGTCCGGCGGTGGACTATCTGTTTGCTTAAACACATTCACAGAACCGGCCCTAGACCTTTGGGGGCCCTAAGCAAAATTTGGTTGGAGGCCCCTTTAATGTATGATTTTTTTGACCCACTAGCTAGCAGTGACTCTATGGGGCCCTCTGCTGGCCACGGGGCCCTTTGCAATTGCAAGGGTCGCTTAGTGGCTGGGCCGGCTCTGCACGTTCATATTATTAATCCTTGATCGTTTCTGCGTGGATTAAATATCGGCCGTTCTTATAGGATTCGGGTGGGGTGCGTCAAGCGTACGTACGTACGCAGGTGGGTGGGGGTGTAAAAAGTACGCGTGCGTACAGGGAGGGGTCAAGTTTGACAGATTTTTGCGTACCTACTCAATGGATGGCCCCTTACGCGGGGAGGAACGTGGACGTGGAGGGAGCGGTACGATTTGTATGAGCGCAACCGGGAGAGGCGGCCAGCCAACTCAGGGATCTTGCTTGTGGGAGGATCGAGTGGTTGGTGGTGTCTTAAAAGCAGCAGTGTGAGCATGTAGAGAGAGAGAGAGGTACACAGTCAGAAGGAGATGATTTGCGGTTTCACCCGCTGACAAACGGTCGCAGTTGAGAGGCCTTGGCTGAGACGTGAGGAACATGGGGCAAGAGGTGCTTGAGAGTTGAGAGAAGATGTCCCTCCACGGAACGTTTATAAAGAAATGGAAGTTGAAATTAGGGTGGATTTGCGCTGTTCAGAATTAAAGACGAAGGCTTTGGCACGGAAAAAAAAACAAGCGACTTCGATGTCTCGTTAGCCAGAAATTGGATGCTGAAGCCATTCCATGACATGTCACATGCGATTGTTGTGCCAAAGAATATAATTGTTAAATGGGATCAGAATAATTGCGGAGTTGGCAGCCCCACTGGACGTCATCACTGACTTAGTTATTTAGTTTAAGTATGTTTCTGCGTGCCGAGCAAAGGAATGTCTCTTGCTGCAACTTATGATTTCACTTAATACGATGCACGGATGTAATGTAATCTACAAAGCATTGGACCATATTGTGAGTGGACAACGATAGGTCACTAATACAGAGATAGAATAACGTTGGAGATAAAACAGAGCCACATGATGCGCCAGAATTAATGGTGAAGGTACAAGATGAGCTACCTTCAACTACTACTTAGACTGTATTGACATGTGCTAGAAAGCTAGATGTCCAAACCATATGATGGCAGCTCAGTAATTAGCACGGGATGCCAGACACGATCGAATGCTTCAGATATGCAAAGGGCTATGGAATACCGACAATCCACACTTCAACCCAAGACCAAAACATAACGGAGTAATGTGCATTAAACGTATAAACCTTCAATTTTCCACCCACGTGCAAACATATTTGCCAAACATGCCTTGCAAAGACCCAGTGAAGCTTTTCTGGGTAAACAAATAGCATTATTGGATGATGAATTCAATTTATATTGTGGTGACACAATTATCCTTTTCGTGCCTGGAAGAACAAGTAATGCATGCA